TTTATTGAAGGCTAGAAACGTTTTTGTTATGCTCACTTGTTAAGCAATAAAAGCAATACCAGTTCTGTTAAAAACATATTGTCGCATCGTCTTTCCACCAAATAACAGAAACGTATCGATAGTGGTATCGATAAAGACTCGGATCGATAAGAGTAAATATTAACGATCCCCATCCCTACCTATGAGTCATAGTTGTTGAGAAAAATAACAAACTGGAACGGTGTTTATTGCTTTACATTTTGATATCATGTGTTGCCGTAGGTTACCAGGCTAAATGGGACGTCTCGGAAAATTCTTATTTCGGAAAACCTGGATGAACCTCGAGCCATTGTTCTGGATCCAGTGAACGGGTAGGTCCCTCATTTTTTACTTATACCGACAATTTGAGCTGGTTTAAGACATGAAAAGGAGTAAAGTCTTCGATACTAAAATTTTCAACTCGATACCGATACTCAGGAAAGTATTCGATACTCGATACCATTTTTGATACCACAAGGATAAAACCAAAGACCCCAAAATTTAACTGAATTTTGACAGGTTAGTGTCTTTGGTTTCAAAGTTACCTATTACTGATGTTATGGTGGCCCACATTAATGACCCTGACCCTAACCCTAACCTAACCCTAACCCTGACCCTTACCCGAACACTAACCATAACTCCAACCCTAACCCTAACCCTAACCCTAACCCTCCACCATTCATAATTGTGAGAAATAAATCTTATTTGGTTAAAGTTGTTTGGACTTATTGTACAAACCTATTTAACAAACACTATTTTAACATAATATTATGTATAGAGTTGAATTGAGTGTTTGCGAGATTAATTTCACTATTTTTAAATTAATGTCTATATTGCCATGAAGCAATTAGGATTTTCTTGCCTGGGATCTTCCTATTGGTGACCTAATCAAAATTGCCGACTTGGATGTGGGGGAGTTGGATATCCATCCTTGGCTTCCTGCAGACTTGATTAATGTTAACGTGTTATTATTAGCCATTAGCCGCAGCTAGCAATTCAAGGCTAACGTCACGTTAACGATCATAAACAACGTAAATAAATAAATCAAAGTGAAGGGGGGGGTATTGGTATCGATACTTTTTTGAGTATCAATACTTTTGACAACCCTAGCCGTACACCACAGAAACTCCAAAAACTGTTATACCTAAAATCCATATTTCCCAGGAAAAATGTTGCTAGGCTCCGTATTAATCATGCATCTATCTCCCACAGTTTGATGTACTGGACTGACTGGGGGGAGAACCCCAAGATTGAGCGAGCTAACCTGGACGGGACGGACCGGGTGGTGCTGCTCAACAGCTCTCTGGGATGGCCAAACGGACTCGCCGTGGACTACGCCGCCGGAAAACTCTACTGGGGAGACGCCAAAACGGACAAGATAGAGGTAAAGCACGCTTTACCACATGAGTTACACATCTTTTTATTTTTTTATTTTTTTATTTTACACTGTCTTGTTCAGCATTATGGCAGCAGAACTGAAATCTGAGTATTGTGCTATGCTGAACAAAGTTGCTTTGCCAAGGGAGGCTTTGTTAGTGAGAAGCCCCCCTTGATTACCCAAAACTTCTTTATTTATTCATTAAAAAAAAGAAAGCTGCTGTCTGTAAAAAGGACTCTGATCCTTGTGGGCAATCCGGGTGGAGAACCTGTAGGAGCTCCTGCAAAAGGACACAGGGAAGACAAAAGAACAAACGAGCAACTAAAGCAACAACACTGGTAGCTGGACATTAGTGAACTTTTCAGAGATGAGCAGCAACTGGACAGAAGCTTAAGATTAAACATCTTTAATCCGTGCCTGATGGGCCACAGGGGGCAACCCCTCCATGCTGGTTTGGTGCACACTGGGCAAACTGAGGTGCTGTTTCCAGCATCATGCAGGGATTTAGTCTATTTAAGTTTTTCTGAGTTTGGTAAGTCCAACCAAATCACTTAGAATGTGTCCCGATGTCCTCAAAGGCCTCTGATGTTTCTATTTTTCTATTTTCTATT